ACGTGAGGTCTCTTTGACAGAATCAACCACTCCAGATTATATGAAGTTTGTGCATGAAATGTCAGCAGGAGATAAAGGTGAGGATGATTGTTTGACCGATGAAGTATCTGTTATGTTGGGAGAGCATGCTGGAAAACCAGGAAATCCAAAGCGGAAACCGATTCGGATGATGGCCGGCCAGAAACAGTTTGACTTTGTAAGAGCTTTTCGAGATGCTCCGGTTGTGGGATTGAATTGCGGATCATTTTTCGACTTAGCTCCAGCAGTTAAGAAGGACATATGTCATCTGTTGGTTCAAGAACGCAGTATGAAAGGGATGAATAAAGGCAAACCAAAGAAGAAGGTCAAAAGTATTGTTGTTGATGTAGGCACTCAGGAGGTTCCAGATGAGGAGTCTGTACTGGCTGTGGCAAGTGATCGAAATTTGGGTGATGTTGCTAATTTCTATACCAAAGAAGAAGTTAGGACGCCAATGGGAACATATCATATTTCTCAGATTCTTGTCAATGGTGGATCTGTGGTCAACCTAATGCCTATTTGTTTACTTAAATCAATTGGTGCTAAGCTGATGGATGCAGAGGGAATGGTCATCCGGACAGCGACAAATGCCCATACAAAAAATCTCCTATTGTGCAGACCTACAGGTGAAAGTTGCTCAGGTACCATGCGAGTTGAGGATTTATGCATTGCCTGATAAATACAAACCTACTTATCCAATGCTACTTAGTCGACGGTGGCTTCAAGCTGTTAAGGCCAAAGGTGATTATGCGTAAGGAAAATACTGGATTGTGGGACCAGGAGGTATCTGTGTCCAAGTTCCAAGCAATGAGGATTATAAGAGAGAAGGAAAGGAAGGTCTAAAAGAGGGGAAACCTCGTGTTCCGATTGTCTTTAAGAATAAAACTTTTGATAAAGGTAAGTTGTCTGCCGAAGTTGAGCAAGAACTAGGTTTGCAAGAGAGAGATGGAGGCAGGTTTTTCGACTGGTTGATCGAGGTGATAAAGCATGAGGCAAGAGAGCAAATGCGAGAAGAGGATGAGGCGAGTACAAGTGAGGATGAAGAGGAGGCTTCCGAGAAATCGGAAAACTAATTCCACCAGTTGATGATTCGAGCCGATTGACTGGTGTTAAGGAGATGTCAGATGTGTCTAATGAGTTTGATTGGATTGATGTATTTGATGAGATAGGCTTGAATATGGATAATATGGAAAACAGGTTACTAAAGGATGATAGTGATAAGGAAGACAGTGATGAAAGTGCTACGTCTGTGAGTTATGATTCCAATTCTGTTGAGTGTGATAG